CCCTCCTCTGGACCCTCCTCTGGACCCTCCTCTGGACCCTCCTCTGGAGGAGCCTGCCACACTTACTCCTGGGTTCTCTGTCCCTCTTTTTTCAGGACGACAGGAAGGAATTTTGGGTGGTCGGGCGGTCAGAGGCTGAGGCCAGAGCGAAAGCAGCAAAACAGACTGGGAGACCAGGGGCAGAATTGACCCTGGAGAGGGGTGAGTGCGTGGCAGAGGCCGAGGCTGGCCAGATCTGTGAGGGGCGCTGGGAATAGAGCAGATCTGAGACCAGAGGTCCTAGCTGTCCCCGTTCTGTCCCCAGACCCGGACGTCCTGGACACGTGGTTCTCATCGGCGCTTTTCCCCTTTTCTGCCCTGGGTTGGCCCCAAGAGGTAAGGTGGGTTAAGGGAGAGCATGGAGGTGGGCATAACACAGGTGGACAGGCCTGGCCAAGGCAGGCGGGGCCTTACTGCGCTTCTTGTCTTCCTAGACGCCAGACCTTGCTCGTTTCTACCCCCTTTCACTTTTGGAAACTGGTAGTGACCTCCTGATGTTCTGGGTGGGCCGCATGGTCATGCTGGGGACCCAGCTCACAGGGCAGCTCCCCTTCAGCAAGGTAAGTACTCCAGTGCCCCGAATGTCTGTCCTCCTCCTGGTCCCTAAGCCCTTCTGCTGACCCTGTCCCTGTCTCCAGGTGCTGCTTCATTCCATGGTTCGCGACAGGCAAGGCCGGAAGATGAGCAAGTCCCTAGGGAATGTGCTAGACCCACGGGATATCATTAGTGGGCAGGAGCTGCAGGTGAGAACAAAGGCATGCAGAGGTCGGAGGAGAGCACGCAGAGCGGCCTGACCTTGGCCCATGAATGTCCTGCTCACCCCCAGGTGCTACAGGCCAAGCTGAGAGATGGCAACTTGGACCTGGGAGAGCGAGACATTGCAGCCGCAGCACAGGTGAGCCTGTGCCCTGGCCCGGGCCTCTGACTTGGCTGCCAGCCTCCTCTGCAGCCTCGGGGCACTGGCACACCTGTCTCCCTCTGGCTGCAGAAAAAGGACTTTCCCTACGGGATCCCCGAGTGCGGGACAGATGCCCTGAGATTTGCACTGTGCTCCCATGGAATCCTGGGTGAGCCTCGGTGGGTGGTATGGCAGAGGGCGCCTGTGTGGGCCGCACGGCTGGCTGAGGGTGAGGAGACTCCTTGTTCTTCCTGCAGGGGGCGACCTGCATCTGTCTGTCTCCGAGGTCCTGAACTACCGCCATTTCTGCAACAAGCTTTGGAATGCCCTGCGCTTCATCCTCCGTGCCCTGGGGGAGGACTTCATACCCCAGCCGGCAGAGAAGGTGGGGGAGCAGCTAGCCTGGAGAGGTGGCAGGAAAGGGTCTAGCTGTCCCGGTCCTCACGCCCGCCTGCTTGCAGGTGTCTCCTTCCTCCCACATGGACGCCTGGATTCTGAGCCGCTTGGCCTTTGCAGCCCACGAATGTGAGAGGGGCTTCCTCATCCGGGAGCTTTCACTCGTCACCCACACCCTGTATCATTTCTGGCTCCACAACCTCTGTGACGTCTACCTGGTGAGTGGGAGGGCACAGCCTAGCAGTTTCCAGAGCTCAGCTCCATGGGTACGTCCAGTTGTCCCCGATCAGGAAAAGCGTGTTCCTCCCTCACTGGCCCAGAGCTGCTGCCTGCCTGTCCTAGTGAGGAAGGAGGCTGGAAGGGTCTAGAAAGAGGGCCGAGGCCGTCGCTTCAGCCCCTAGAGCTGCTGCATCCTGGGAGGATGGGGGGGCGGGGCTTCAGACCAGGGTCTTTACGCAGTGTCCCATGACAGTCACCCAGAGTGCCTGTCCACTTCAGTTCCCCACTTAGGCACTCAGTTGGTTGGGACTTGCAGTGGGGCCGATAACCCTCGCTGTTTCTTAGCTTTGTTCCAGGGCAGAGGATATGGCGCATTGTAAACTTGCCTAGGTAGCAGGCTCAAGGCTCTGGTTCTATCTCCAGCACTGCAGGGAAAAAACCTCTTTCATCTTCCGATAAGCAATAAAAGACCAAAACCCTTTTTCCTAAACTGTACGGCTCCCTCTCCCCCACCTCTGGGAGTCACTGCACGGCCCTGTTCACTTGCACACCCAGGGATAGCATGGTACCGGTGATGTTCAGCCCCTTGGCATATTCCCGTCCCAGGAGCTGATCCCCACCGGCACCGTGGTGACAGAGGCAGGGTGTGGCTGTTGTACTATCTGTCAGCTTCCTCCGTAGGAAGCGGTGAAGCCAGTGTTGTCGAAGGTACCCTGTCCCCCAGGACCCCCTCAGGTCCTGTTCTCCTGCGCCGATGTGGGCCTGCGCCTCCTCGCCCCGCTGATGCCCTTCCTGGCAGAAGAGCTTTGGCAAAGGCTGCCCCCCAGGCACGGTGGCCGCCTGGCCCCCAGCATCTGTGTGGCTCCCTACCCCAGTGCCCACAGCCTGGTGAGTCATGGGCGGGATGCGGGGCAGCCTGGGAGGAGCGAGGTTGTGGGGTCACTGTCACTTAGCCATGGGGCTTTTTACACGGGTTTCCAACCCGGGAGATGCCTGGCAAGCATTTACGTGCTGAGCCATTCCCCGGCCCCACTTTTTTCTCATGAGACAGGGTCTCTCTTTGTGGCCCTGGCTGTCCTGCAACTCACTATGTAGACCCCCCCACGTCTGCCTCCCGAATGCTGGGGTTAGGGGCAGCACCATGCCCAGACTACCTGTTGTCTCACTGAATTGTTTCCAGGCTTAGAGTGCACTGGGTGTGGTGGTGCACACCTTTAATCCTAGAACTTGGGAGGCAGAGGCAGGAAGATTTTGTGAGTTTAAGGCCAGCCTGGTACACATATCAAGTTCTAGGACTACAAGAGACCTTATCTCAAAAAAGGGGGGAAAGGAAAGTCTGGGGCTGGAGAGGTGTCTCGGCAGTTACAGAGCGCTTGTTCTTACAGAAGACCTGGGTTCAGTTCCCAGCACCCACACTGGGGGCTCGTAGCTGTAGCCCCAGTTCCAGGGGATCCAGCAGGCATGCATGTGTTACACATAAATGCATGCTTACAAAGTAAAATGGTTCTAGATTTAAATCTGACCCCCACTGGGCTTTGTTTTTGATGGTGTTTAGAGTTCTAGCCCGGTTGGGACTGGTTGGCATCTTCAGAGTGAGCACAGGCGTCAGCCGCTGATTGTGCAGACCCTCAGGTGGCGCCCGCCCTCACGGGTTGCCCTGCTCCTGGAGGGGAGCAGTGTGCTTGTTGATGCGGCAGGTGGATAGAGGGCACAGCATCAATGCTGAGCTTCCCGGAACTTCCTCGCTGACTCTGGGTTTCTTCCCCAGGAGTCCTGGCACCAGCCTGAGCTGGAACGCTGCTTCTCCAGAGTCCAAGAGGTTGTACAGGCACTGCGGGCCCTCCGAGCCACCTACCAGCTCGCAAAAGCACGACCTCGAGGTGAGGCTGGTCCTGGGTGTCTTCAAGGAGGGGCTGTCAGGGAAGGGCAGCGTGTGTGGGTGCAGATGCCCACGCTGACCTCGATTCACTGTCCCTGCCTCCACTAGTGCTGCTCCAGAGCTCGGACCCAGCAGATCAGGGCCGATTCCAGCCCTTCCTGGAGCCCCTCGGCACCCTGAGCCACTGTGGGGCTGTAGGGTTCCTGCCCCCGGGGGCGGCAGCTCCCTCCGGCTGGGCCCTGACCCCACTGGATGACACCATTAAGATCTACATGGAGCTGCAGGTGACCAGAGGGGACTGGAGGGATTTCAGAGGAGGAGAGGTGGAAGGGAAGGGCCTTGGGATGGAGGCTGAGCAGGCTGCAGGGGTGCTGACTTCCTTCCTGTTACGCAGGGCCTGGTGGACCCCCAGAGCCAGCTACCTCGGCTAGCTGCCCGAAGGCAGAAGTTACAGAGACAGCTTGATGACCTCTTGAACCGGACTGCATCGGAGGGGCTTGCAGAGAGGCAGCAGAGGGTAAGGCTGAGGAAGCCTGAGTTCCTGGGGGGGCAGGGGTGGGGAGGCCAGCTCACCATTCTCATCCTTTTCCTTGTCCAGCTGTCCTCCCTCCGCCAGGAACTGTCAAAGCTGGACCAGGCGGCCTCCCACCTCCAGCAGCTGAGAGAAGAGGCTGCCAGTGCCCGGGGACTCTGAGCTCCGCTCCCACCCATGCCCACGTTCCTTCTCAGGCTGTTTTTGAGGACAGAGTGGCCTGCTCTTGGTGCAGTGGGACCTCAGAGGTGACACCTTCCTCATTTTGTAAAAGGAAGCAGACCAGAAGTCCCTGTGACGCAAGAATGAGGAGATGGAGATAAAATGATAAAATCCCAGACACACCTGCTTGTGATCCTTCATCACCCTGTGCCTTGCCTGACTGCCTTGCCTCTCCCTTGCTCTGGGAAGAGGAGGGCTGCCTTGGAGCTTCTGGTGTGACGCTGGTTTCAGCAGTTCCCTAGACCCAGAGACAGGACTCTGGTGACCCTGTTCTCTGTACACCTTACCAAGTAGAAGTTCCTTTGTTCCTTGGTCCTGTGCCTGGAGGTTGATATTTTTTTCTGGGCATGAGGGGATTAAAGGGGCACTGGGGACCACAGATCACACCCACCACAGACGTACTCAGTGTCTTACATGGTCCCAGAAGCAGACAAGCCACCTGCACCCAAATACCTCACCTCAGTGAAATTCAGAGCCTGCTCAGCCCTTCTGCGTGGAGGTAGCTCAGGGTAGCTACTGTGTTGAGCCTTTTGTGGGCTGGGTCTTCCATCATCTTGGTATCTTACTAAGAACCGACTCACCTGGGTTTTAGCTTCATTTTGGACTCAGAGATGCTAGAGAGAATGGAAGTAACTACCCCAGCTAATCAACAGGGATTTCGTCTAGCTGACTCAACATACCTACCCAGGCGCAGCGCCTTTGTGCTGCAGGAACCAAATCTCAAACGCGGTGGTTGCTCTGACATGTGCTCCTGTTACTGGGCAGACGTGCAGGGCTTGGCTGCCATGTCCACCCTTCCATCTTATTTCCTGACACCACATTCAAGGTCTCCTCCATTTGCTGCCATGTGTCTGCATGCATACCGAAGGAAGCAGGCGGGCTCCTGATTTTTCCCCTCAGGGTTCAGTGGGTGAGAGAGTTTAAAAGTCATCAAATGTGAGAGAGAAGACTGGAACTGAAGTGTGCTGGCATAGTAAACAGGTCAAGGTGAATCTTAGATGGAATTAAGCAAAGACTTCTGGAAGGTGCAAGAATAGCCAAGCGGGTGCCTGGGAAAGAAAGTTCCTCAGAGAAGAGCTGAGATGGGGCACTCCAAGTACCGAGGAGGCCAGTGTGTGGGGTGAGCACACAAAGGGTCACCAGAGGAGGTGAGCAGAGCCGAGGGGTGTGGTGTGGAGCTGTGCTGTAGCCAGCTCACTTAGCTGAAACACATTCCTCTCAAACTATGGTTAGCGGCTGCCATGCGGGTCCAGTTCTAAAGCATGTTTTCACGGAGGTTGGTATTGGGGCTCTTTGCAGGGCTGGACTTCCCTCTGAAGTCCTTTCCTCAAGGGTGTTAACACTTCCTACTTGCATCGTGTTGGATAGACCATCATCATACAGCCAGCCTAGCTGCAAAGGGAGGCAGGTTCATCAGAAGCCAGGTTCCCAGCTAAAAGTTACACAGCCCTAGAGGAGGAGAATGGCCATAGGTTCTTTGCCAGTCCTGTGGAATGTCACAATCCAGGACTGCTATCCCGTTACCAGCCACAGCTGACAGGCACCCGTGGTCCTCCAGGTTTACCTCTGGTGCCCATCTCCTGTTTGGTGCCCAGATGCACAGGCTGGAGGTCTTTGGAGAGACAACTCCTGGTTATTCAAGTTCACGCCTGACATGCAGCTCATGAGTCCTATTGGACTCTGCTGGCAAGCTTTTCAGACATGCTGGGCCTGCATCCAGACCAGAGCATTTGCCGGCCATTCTGTCCACTTATCAAGAGAAACTGTTCGTCAAGAGGCCAAGGGTTTAGGGTGGAAAGCAGCCACTGGGTGGATCCTTAAGGCAGCCTATGCCTGGAGGGCAGGGTTATCCACCTGGGAGGAAAAGTCACAGTCCCGAGGGTAGAAGAGTCCATGGCACAGCCATGGACACTGGAAGGGCATTCTTGACCACTAGGATAGTAATTTCCTCCAGAGCTGCCCTGACCATAGTGAGCAGGCCAGAGGCCAGCCAAGGGATTACGTATCTGAGGTGGAAAAGCCATGCTGAACAGGGTAGTCAGACTAGAAGCTGCATTCCCTTCTAACCACTGGAAACTGGAACCTAGAAAGAGAATGTCTGTGGGTGCTGAGTCCCAGCGCTAACCACTCGTTCTCCTGACCCTGCAGGAGCAAGCTGTCCCTGGCACGCTAACTGTGCCCCTGTTGCTTCTGGGGGCTGCCTTGAAAGCGCCTCCTTTATTGACAACACCTAGCAAATCTGTAGCAACATGTCAGACGTCACCAGCAAGGAACTGGGCCTGCCAGTTCTCACCATGCCAGTATCTGCTCAGCGCCACAGAAATTCTCTCTTGTTGGTTTTTATATACCGATATTTCCTGCTAGGGACCATTAAAAAAAAAATCCTTCAGTTTATATTGAGGTCAGGTCTGTGCACAGAGAAGTACCAGGTGTTCCTTGCTTAAACCCACGATCAGAGATCCCAGTAAGGACAGTCTACGGGAGCCTCTGCCGATGACAAGACTCTTGTAGACAAGAGACACTGGGACACCTTCCAGTCCTGTCTCCCCCTCCAGAGCATCCTCTTGAGATTTTGCTGGCCTGGTGGTATGGGTACCTGTATCCTCTGCTTTCTCAGTAGGACCAAAAGAGGAAGGCGGAGCTTATTCAGATTAATGAATTGCCTATTTACAATCCACCACTCAAAACAAAACGGGAGTAAACATTCCATTTAACCTTTTCCCCTCAAGTTTATAACCTGTAGGCAAGCTCAGCACTTGGGGTGAATTATTTACCACGTGCACCTGTGACCTAGAGAATACAGAACGCTCTTCTCTCCTCTATGTCATAGCAGCTGGAAATTAAAAACAGAAGAGCGCCCAGGGTGTGACGGGGCAGAAACAGGCAGCAAAGAGGGGAAAAAAAATAGAGAAAAGCCCGGAGATGCGGGGCAGAAAGAGCTGGTGGGAAGACCCTGTGGAACCCTCAACTCCAGCCTGCCCCCCGCAGGCTGAGTTAGCAGTTTCTGCCAGCGGCTTGGCCAGAATCTGACCCTGATCTGCTGGGGACAGAACCCAGGGCCTTGTGCAATCCCACTCACGGTCCTACAGCCTGTTCTCCCTCCACTTCCTTCCCCTTCAGACCCTGGAAGCTCAGTGTCCCAGCAAGGCCAGGGGAGAGCTCCTCACACACAGTGGGGCTGGGGCTGGGGCTGGGGCCCGGAGTGGGGAGTTCCTGGTTTCGAGGACGGGGTATGGGTGGAGAGGCCATTTGTGCTCCTACCTCAGCAGGAGCCACGTGAGTTCTGAGCAAACAGCAGAAGCCCTCAGGGTACCAGCGTCCAGCAAAGACCTCCTACCCCTAGGAACCGTGACCTGCTCACCTGTCCCTGCCTCCACCTGACTTTCAGGCACTTCCAACACAAAGCAAGTTTGCCATCACCTTACGTCAGAAAACTTCAAGACTGCTTTGGATTTCCCTACAACAGCGTAGGAAACGGTAGAAAGGGGCTGGAGAGGTGGCTCAGCTCTACAGAGAACCCAAGTTTCATTCCTAGCAGCCAGGTCAGGCGGCTCACAGCTGCCTGTAACTCCAGCTGATGCCTCTGGCTTCTGCGGGGCACAGGGCAGGCAGGCAGGCACGCACGCACGCACGCACGAATAAAGCTGAGCAAGCCTTCCCTGCCCCCACACAGCCCACCCCCAGGTGCCTACACTTGGCTCAAGGGCCTGAGAGCCGGGTCGATGAGGAAGCTAAGGACCTGCGCCATGGCCCTTTCTCAGGTGTGCTGAGTGGGTTATCTGTCCTCTCCAAACCTTCCTCCCCAGTGCCTTGGGGTCTGGTTTGTTCTGTCTCTGCTTGGGAGTGGTGGCTTACGCCGCCACCCTGGTTCTCAAGAGAGAAATCTCATTCTGGCAACAGAACTCAAAGCGGCAGACTCCTTACTCCTGATGGAGGTGGGACTGACTGGGGTTCCCATCAGCTAGTCTTAGTCAGGGTGTCCCCTTGCTCTGAAGGGGCCCTCGGAGTGCTAGATGAGTGTGCTGCTTCTGAGTCCTGGCAATTTTCAGTCAAGTATACTACCTTGAATAGAAGTCTTCTCAAATCCTGGACAAGATGCCCCATAAAATATAATGGGGTGCTGATGGTCATGTAGGGGCTGCTGAGTGTCCCCTAGAGATGAACATCAGGGAAAGACACAAAGACCGTGCTGCAGAACCACAAAAGTACCGGTCCCAAAGATGTTCATCTGCTAACAGGAAGCTGGCTTGGGTACTATACAGGGCCCCTGGGTCCACCCCTTCACCTACTGGCCCTATTCAGAAACCCCGCCCCCATGCCATCCTGCCATTTCTCCTTGAAATATCTTCAGTCTTCCATCTCAGGGAGACTTTTCATTTCTCTTGTCTATTTTTATGTGTCTCCAGCTCCCCCTCACAGCTATGGTGAACCCCAAGGCATTATCTCCCCTGTACTGCTCTAGGAAAAGAACCTGGAAACTGCACTCTGATGACCACAGGTCTTGAGCTCTAGGGGCTGGGCAGAAGAATAGACTTCTGTCCGCTCCTCAAGCCTCAGTCCCCAGGTCATCTGAAGTCCCCACGCCTGACCCATGGGGGCCACCTCCCAACTGGTGCAGTTCCAAGGGCAAGTCACAGAACACTGGGGTCCACTGGGGACCTGTGGGTTACCTCTCCTCATGCTACATGTTCCAGGACAGTTAGAAAAGGAGAAAGGAGGCAAGGCAAAATGTGTGCTCTGCTTCCTTCTCACTGTGTTTCTTCGTCTTCAGAGATGTTCTCTCTGGAGTTTCTAGCATTTCCACAGGAGTCAGTTCTATGGGGTGGTGTGGGTGGGGACTGGGAAGGACAGTAGCCGCCCTCTCAACACTCCTAAGGGGCCAGTCAGGTCTAGGCTACAAGATGTAGTCAGTGAGAAGCCGAGATAATTTATTTTGTTTGTTTTTGAGACAGAGTTCCACTGTGTAGCCCGGGCTGTCCTGAGACTCGCTCTGTAGACCAGGCTGGACTCAAACTCAAGAGATTGGACTGCCTCTGCCTCCCAAGTGCTGAGATCAAAGGTGTGTGCCACTAAGCCCAGCTCAAGATTATCTTGAGGAAAGGAGTCTGGTAAAAACAGGAAGAGGACTCTAGATCCCCAAGAGGAACTGAACTGTTAAGGCTGGGCTCCTACTCTGACATCAGTCTGTCCCAAATGTGCCCAGCTACCATATGACATGCTCTGGGGTACATCCCTCGGAGTTTACCTACATTGTTCTCAGAAGAGTCCTAGGATGCAGGCACTGCCTCCCCATCCTGTGGGTGACTAGAAGCTTGGAGAGAACTGACCCTTCTTCTGGGACACCTGTGATCACAGGTCCAGATGTCAGGTGTCACTCAGTGCTCTAACGAGGCCACCTCTCCCCAGTGCTGGGACTTGCTGGCGACTTCTCAGCGGCACCCCTCACTTTCCTCCGAGCCCCCTGTATCCTGCTTTCCAGCCTGACCAGCCATGCAGGCCACACAGGACCCTGGGCCAATGGGCTATATCTTGAGATGTTCTGTCCACATTCTTGGGATTCCTGGGCCTACAACCCCAAAACTGAGGACAAGGGACTGCAATTAAAACCCTGCTTGAACTAAGACATCTGTGTGGTGCCTGGTTTCTTGGCTGCTGTTGGCTCTCAGGAGAATGGCCCTCTCTGGGCCGGCAAAGCATTCAGGATTACCACAGGCATCACATGGAAAAGCCAGGGACAAAGAAGACAAAGAACAATAGGATAGGTGTTCTGAAGAGAGCTGAGCTGGAGAGGCGTGCGTGTGTGCGTGCGTGCGTGCGTGTGCGTGCGTGTGTGCGTGAGAAGTTACCTCACTCCTCATATTCCAGGCTTCTGTGGTGTACAGGGAGAGTCAGTTGGCACCTCTGCTCAGTGAGCAGGAGATTCAGAGACCCTGGCATGCAGCTCACGTTTCCTGTCTGCCTGGTGCTCACAGACCCACTGGACACACCAAGGCAATCATTAGATTCCACATGTTTATTAAGATGCTCACTCCCAGTGCCCACTCCCCAAAGCTGAATGCTGGAGCCCCACACAGGCTTCAGCTGCCTCAGGTTCTGCAGGTTAAATGGTGTGGTGGCCCTTTGTGATGGAGGGTCATGTTGGTCCCTGATGGGAGGTGGAGGAGGAGGCAGATCTGGGGAACAAAAATGAGTAGAGGATGAGGTGTAGATGGTACCCCCTCCCCGCTTGACCCAGCCAGCCCGAGCAGAAACCCTCGGGGACTCAGAGAAGCACACAGCACCACTTTCTCCCTTCCTGAGAACTACCTTTTGGAGCACGTCCAGAAAGCTGGAGTCCTGGGAGGCCTTGGCCTGGAAAGTCTCCCTCAGCTTCACTTTCAAAGTCACCTTTGGCCCTGGGAACCCAAAAATGTGTCTCAGGACACTGCAGTTAGGGGCATGGTGCCCCCCCGGGGGGTGTGTCCCACATTCTCACCAGACTCCCTTTCCTCCAGGGCGGTCCCATCCACTCTCAGATCAGGGACTCAGCACCCCTCCCTTCTCCCCGCTGCCCACCCTCCGGCCCTCACCTGTTGCACACGCGCTGCTGAGGAGGGTCAGGAGGAGGAAGAGGGGCCTCGAAGCCCCCATTGTGGCTCCCTCACTTCTCTGATGGCAGGAGAGATGTGGAACCGGCCTCTCTTTACCCTGGGCCCTCAGCACTGGTGTTGGGGGCACTGAGACATGGCAACTGGACTTTCCAGTTCTCCCAGAGTGGTTCCCATGACCCTGGAGAGGGCCACTCACTGGCTCCTGGGTAATGTGGAGGGTACCCCCCCATTGTTTGCTTCAGACCCCTGAGGAGAGAGGGGTGGGGACAAAGAGGGGGCCCTCCTGCAGGTGTGGGGCCCCACCTAAGCCTGGGTCCTTCAGTGGTTCGTGAAGAATTAATGATTAACTGCTCTTAGCTGTCATTTCTGCCAGAGAAGGGCTCTGGAATGTGAAAGGGAGGGGTGGGTGAGGCCTCACTTCGTCATGCCCAAGAGGTGTCTTAACATCCCGGCCTCAGTGGATTTCCAGGTGGGAAACCTGGACAGAGGGGAGCTTCCATCTTTGAGATTTTCTCTTTATTTTATGCGGGTGTTTTGCCTGCATGTATGCATGAGCACCACATGTGTGCAGTGCTCACAGAGGCCAGAAGAAGGTATCAGATCTCCTGGAACCAGAGCTACCATATGGGTGCTGGGAATTGAACCCAGGTCCTGTGGAAGAGCAACAAGAGCTCTTGACACCCCCCACCCCCCCCACCCCCCAGCCATCGCTCCAGTCCCTCTGCCAGACTTTCTATGTGGGTGTTGGAGATGGAACTTAAGGCCCCATGCTTCCATGGCAAACACTTTACCAACGAGCTGAATCATAATTCTTTTTGTTTTGTTCTGTTTTTTTTGAGACAGGGTTTCTCTGGGTAGCTTTTGGAGTCTGTCCTGGATCTTGCTCTGTAGACCAGGCTGGCCTCGAACTCAGAGAGATCTGCCTACCTCTGCCTCCCAAGTGCTGGGATTAAAGGTGTACACCACCACCGCCCGGTCCTCATAATTCTCAAATGGTACCGATGTGTGGTAGGTGCTGACCACCACCGCAACCTGGTGATCTGGGCACACACTTCACAGAGGTAGCTGAGCCGTGGGTGAAATGGGAGTGATAACCTCTGCCTCGAGGAGGTCCTGGGGTATCGCATGAGTCATGCATGAGAAGCACTGACAGTATTGGGCAAACAGCTCTCCTGCTAATTGCTGCTGCTCAGCAAAGAACACTGAGGACCTGGATTGTCACAGCAGGCACGAGCCAAGAGCTGGGCAGCTGGTCCCCGGGCCCCCTGATCGGGACATCCTACCCATTTTTTATTTCACAGACTTGCCAGTTCTGAGGGAGATGAGTTTGGGGTGCAGTTGTGACCCCTCACATTGCCACCGTCAGGCTGCCAGCCAGCAATGCTCATGGGGGTGGGGCTGAAATGGCTGAGATCGTCTCCCTCTTTGGCCGTTCCTATATCCTCTCCCAGAGTGGCTCCTTCCCAGGCGCCTGTGTCCCACTCACCCTCACTGGGACCACTTTCAACAGACGGCTTCTTGGGGTCCGGGGCTTCCTGACCCACAGAGTAGTGGGAAGTGAAGTGTCAATCACTGAGTCGTGGGATGGGATTCTCACCCTGACATGCCTTCACTCCCATGTTGCGGGACGGGACCCAAGTTTTCCAACCATGTTTTTCTCATGCACAGAAGGAAGGCTCAGGGCCCATTTTCTGGTGTCCTGGCTCCCCAATCTCATTGCTACCAGCCCCACCTGGCCCTCAAGGCCCGGTTTGATACAGAAATTCCCAAAGGGAAGGGGAATACCACGGAAGTGGGGCCATTTGAAGATATGAGGAGTGGTGTGCACACAGGCGCGGGCAGCTGTTGGCCACAGAATCTCTGCACTGCGGGGACAGTTCTCTGCTCTGGTCCCAGGGTTTGCATTTGGCTCTTTTTATCTATACCCCAGACTGTCCTGGGGTGAGCAAAGGGAGACTTGGAAAAATCCCTGCAATCCTTAAGGACCACCTCCCGCTTCTCTCACCTTCAGCAGCAAAGGCAGATGCCGTGGCAATGTAGCCAGGACAGTTGCCCCAGCAGCAGCTGAAGCGGTGGTGGTGGTGGCGGTCCTAGTGGGAGACGTTGACCCAGATGACGTCTCTCAAGTTACTCAGGCAGCGGCTGCAGCCCTGCCTGACATCACAGGGACGGGTCCCAAACTCCTTCGCCCTCCCCCCCATCTCTGTCTTATAGACCTCGTACGACTACTTGGGTGCAACCTTGGCAGTGGCTATTATTATCGACCCAAGAAGGAGGCAATGATCATTCTTTCTGGCCCAGCCAGCTCAGCGAGCTGCAAAAGACAAAACAAAACTATATGAATCAGAAAAAGAAACAAAAAACAGGAGTTGGGCATTTAGCTCAGCCGTAGAGTGCTTTGCCCAGCAAGTACGAGGCTCAGCCCTGGGTTCAGTCTGCAACACGAGGCAGTGGGACAGGGGGATGATGACTCGTATTCAGAAGACACCCTTGGCTAGGGCAGGACCATCTCTATTCTGTCACAGAGGGTATCCTTTAGATGCTTTACCCCCACCCCTTCTTCCCATCCAAATCCCTTCTTCCCCAGACATCAGACAAGTTCTTTAGCCCACAACACTCTCCCACTGAGGGAGACCCTTCCCTTTGCTGGGCACTGACCACCCAGATCCCCCCACTCAACTTTCAAGGCAGGTGGGGATGCCCTACCTTCTCTGTGATGCCCCTTGGACCACTCCAGAAGGGTAATGGCCACAGTCTCCCTCCACTGGTCTCCCAGATACTGTGGCCTTCGAGGCTAAACAGGCCCTGGTCAAGGTCTGGTCTCTGCTGCTCCCCAGGTCTCTGCTGCCCCCCAGGTCTCTGCTGCCCCCCAGGTCTCTGCTGCTCACCAGGTCTCTGCTGCTCACCAGGTCTCTGCTGCTCACCAGGTGCAGCTTGGGTATCTTAGTTCCTGGTGCCAGGCTCTTTTGCCCTCGTCTGGAAAAAACAGGATGGCATTGCTGACCTCATCAGTTTTCACAGGTGAGATGTTTAACATGCACAGAGATGCTTGGCCACCATGTGACTGGCACCTCTGTGTCCAACTCAGACAAAGTTACTTCTTGTGACTATAAGACATCATCTTGGGCCAGGCGTGGCAGTTTCTTCCTGTAACCTCAGCACCCAAGCGGCAGAGACAAAAGGTTAGCCACCATCTGGGGGCTAACCTGGTCTTCATAATGAGTTCCAGGTCAACCAAGACAAGATATTATGATCTTGTCTCAAAAAACCAAAACAATTTAATAGCCAGGCATGATGGTCCATGCCTGTAATCCCAGCACATGGGAGGCGGAAGAGGAAAGATCATGAGTTCAAGGTCATCCTCATCTACATAGCAAAATTACAGGACACCTTGTCTTAAAGCAACATACACGAGAGAGAGAGAGAGAGAGAGAGAGAGAGAGAGAGAGAGAGAGAGAGAGAGAGAATATTAAGCCAAGTAAAACAAAAAAAATTTTTAATTGAGAGGATAGGGCTAGGGAGGTTGAGAACACTGGCTGCTCTCCCAGTGGACTAGGGTTCAATTCCCAGCACCACCTGATGGCTCCAGTTGTCGGTAACTCCAGTTCCAGGGGCTCCAACTCTCTATTCTGGCCCCCATGGGCACTGCACAAAAGTTCACAGACACACATGCAGGCAAAACACACATAAAATAAAACAAACTTAAAAGAATGGCAGGTGATGAATTATTTAAAAAACCGAGAGGCTCTTTATGCCAAGTTCCTCTTCTCTAGACACCTGGGTCTTCTGTGAGTTGCGACCAAAGGTGGGTGGAGGATGTTTGTTCACAAGCAGGGGGTTGAAGCTTATTCCAAAACAGAAATTCTTACCCTTGGCACTACTGACACATCAGGCTGGATGATTCTTCAATCTGGAAGGTGTTTCAAGCCATACAAACGGCCAGCAGCATCTCTAGCCTCCTCCTGCTGCATACCAGCAGCCTGCATCTCACTCTGTGACAAGGATAGCTCCTGGAATTGTCGTAGCACCCCCCCCTCCCCTGCCGGCGGCGGCGGCGGCAAAATGGGCCCTTCCCACAGAGAGCCAGTGTTTGGGGGCTGGGGACCCTAGAGGAAGGCTGGTATAGAAGACTGGTGGGAAAGGAGGCTGTCAGCTGCTCTCGAGTCCAGATGGAGCCACAAGGAAAGGCCTGTCTCTGCCTCAGTTTCTTTATCCTGCAGGCTGTACTCTCTACCCCACAGGCTGCCCAGTTCTGAGCCGTCAGTCTTAGTCACAGCTACGGAGGCTCATTAATCTCCCATTAATTGAGCTAATGGGCAGTTGGCCACCCCTCCTCTTCTTTCCTTCTTATCTAGCCCTGCCTAAGGGCGTAGGCACTGGTCATGCCAAACCACTAGTCCCCGTGAGCCCCAGCTGCCCCAGCTCTCTCCATCCCCTCTGCTGCCCACTTCCCTCAGGGAGCCACAGCCTCGCTTTCAACCCACCAGGGGACTCACATTTCTTGGGGGGGCTGGGGTATGAGCCCACAGCCTGGCGCATGCTAGGCAAGCATTCTCCACTGAGCCGCATGCCGGACACTGGCAAAGGACCGCTGAGGACTGTCTCCTGCATGTTGAGCACTGTCCCAGAGACTAGGGCTATGGACGTGACGGGGACACAAACATTGCCCCAGGATGCTCACAGTGTAAGGGGCCTTCACTTAACCGGCTTTGGAGAGGGGCAGGGGCTCCTCTCTCCAAGAGCCCCAGTGGAGCTGATCTCAAAGCTAATGCTTGCTTTAGGTAGGGAAGGAGTGAAGCCTCAGGCAAAGGGTTCAGAGGGGATGTGGAGGTGAGTGTGGAGTCCCACAACTGAGACCTTTCACTGAGGGGGAAGGGGGTTGAACTTCCGGAAATAGGAGGTACACATTTCTGAGCAGGGGTAGACGCAGCTTTGAGGCAGGGGAAGCTGTGGGGCTGGGGTGGTAGGGGAGGGATGGGAAGGACAGGTGTCCCCCTTGGCTGGACAAGTGACGTCAGACCCAGGGTTCCCCTGCCTGTCTTGTCCGTCCCTGCCTCAGCTGTTCCCACAGCCTGTCCTATTACCTTACAAATCTGAAAGCAGCAGTCTGTGTGCAGTGGGCCACGTGAGGGCTGCCCCTCTTCTCTGCTCTTTCACCTGGTCTTGGGGACACTCCACCCAGGGCAGAAAGTGTGGCCATGTGTGAATACGGGGTGTGGAGCTGGATGACGCCAGAGACACAGGAGGGTGAGTGTGTGCCTCCTCCCAGAGCCTGGACCTGTCCAGTGCCCTGTCCAATCCTTCTAGAACACCAGCATTGGCTCAGAGCCTGCAGGCCACCCCTTACAAGTCATTCCTCCTGCAGGGGATGGATAAGGAGGCAGGTTGGCTACCCCACCCAGATCCTTTCCCTTTGGTGGGACCCAGGTACCTAGCTCCATGACACAGCTGCGGCCTCCCATTATCAGGGCACCCCTGTGGGGTGGGGCAGCTCCATTTACTCAAGGCTTTGTTCAGAGCAGCCCCAGCCTCCATGACGTCAAACTGATCCCTTATA